TTTAAACATTAACCAAATATACAGAAATACTGAATGCTGCTAGCAGAATAATCACAATTAACATGGACAAAAGCCATGTTTCTACAGTATCATACAATGTTAAACATTAACCAAATATACAGAATGCTAATAGCAGAATAATCACAATTATCATTATTATATGAATTAACATGGACAAAAGCCATGTTTCTACAGCATCATACAATGTTAAACATTAACCAAATATACAGAAATACTGAATGCTGCTAGCAGAATAATCACAATTAACATGGACAAAAGCCATGTTTCTACAGCATCATACAATGTTAAACATTAACCAAATATACAGAATGCTGCTAGCAGAATAATCACAATTAACATGGACAGAAGCCATGTTTTACAGCATCATACAATGTTAAACATTAACTAAATAACATATCTAGAGCACATCATGGACAGAAGATGTTTTGCATAATTTAGATACATCTTAAAGACAACAGAGGTACAATGGTGTAAACAGTCTCTTCTCTTGTGGGTGGCAATTGTACCTTGGATTTTGAATAGGCACAGCGGGATAGAATTCTAGTAAGAGGTATAAAAGAGGCAGGTGAAAAGGGTTCAAAGGTCAACACCCCCAGAGAGAACACATGTCTTTCCTGCCATAATGATAGCCTATCACCATGTTCCCTAAACCATCTTACTTCGGCAACCTGTGTGGTGTACCATCTTCTCATCTGACCCATTGTCACTTAGGAATACAGAGACCTTCAACATTTTAACAATCAGCCCTGGTCTAGCGTCAGCAGCAGGGTCTATCATAGGATCACCTGTCCTTTCCTGATTCCTAAACCACTTCGCATAAATACATGATGCAGAATCAGTCCTATAGTTTTCTGAAGATAGCAAATCACCACCAATAGAACATCTGTTGAACTGTTTACAAATCAAGGACACTCGTTTGACATTCATGTGAGAATACAAAGTTTAAACATAGAGAGCAGGTCCTGGTTGTCGTCATAGGTCATGCTACCTGATATCAATGGAGGAAGTATCATTTGACAATCATTGTAAGAGAAATCTTCAAGTAGATCATTGCTCTCTGCCAGTCTCTTTAGTACCCGTAACTGAGACATCAAATGACAAAACATGGTCTTCCCTAGAGGGTTTGGAAGGGAACAGTTCAGGGGGTACTTCATTCTGCATCATGGTATGGTTAAGCTGTGAGAAAATTTCCCAATTGAACAACCATTTTCTCATCATTATCACTTCTGCATCTTTGTTATTATTGTGGTAGTTACCCAAAGTACCATTGTTTCTTTCAAATGCAAAACACCAAAATGCATGAACTGGGCCGTAATCTTCAATACATTGTTTGAGGTGGAGGTGAAGGTGTAAGTTCATGGTACACCACTGCTTACCATACTTGCGTTCAAAACTATTGCAAAATATTTTCAAGCATTGGTGTGCATCCTGAAGTTGTCGTGCTGTTATCATCCTATTGCATAGTACCCTTGCAGCAGCTACAAAGCATTTCCATATATTGTAATCTGTATCATCTAATACTCCTTTTAAAGCAAAGAGGGAGTATGTACAGACCCACAGTTTCCACTGTGCAGCTGTAAAGCCTTCAAAAGATGCCTCAATCTTACCAGGGAGACCTGAATCGAGATCAGAAGGGACTTTCATGTCATTTACTCTATTTTGAATCACCTTAAATGATGCAGCGGACAGGATGCCATTTTCCTTCCAGACTTGCATGACTCTTTTGGCAGTTCCTTCTAGTAAGTTATGCATGGGATCAACTACATGCATTCTCACAGCATCAAAGTATGGTAAATCATGTAAACTGCTATGTCTGGCTCCAAATTCTGCCTCAATTTTCTGTTTTCTGTTCTGTTTTTAGCCAATTTTGCCCTTCTTGCATATGTTATGTGTAGTTCATTTGTACGAGGTTCCCAATCATCTTCCTGAAAACCTGAATAATCAACTTTGTTGTCCCCAGTACGTAAAAATGATTTGAGACACTTAGAACAGCCTTTTGTTGCCATGTGACCCAGAAATCCCCCCGTTTTCCTAGTGGCAGGTATATCACTGGACAGACATAGACAAGCAGCACGATACATGTTTAAACCTAGTGAGGATGAATCATGCAGAAATACGCCTTCCCATAAGTCATCTAGTTCTTGAACGAGAGGATCTAAAAAAGAATTAATGTGCCCTTTTGGTTCTCTGGGACCAGGTATAATGCCAACTACTATTATGTTTTCTTTCTTGAACCTTTCTTCCCTTGGCAAATTCATCACAACCATGTACATCACCCCAACAGAATCCTTAACCTTATCATATGGTTGAAACCAATCAACATTAAGCATCAAGCCTAGATTGTATGGTTCAGCCAAAAAAGGCTTGCCATCATGATACTGAAAAATCTTTCCACACATTTCCGTCATAGACATCGCCATAGACACCTTCTGAAACATTTCGATTCCTCCATTCCTCACATTTGTTAAGGAATCCTGGTTCTTTTGACTAAATCTCCTAGTGAATCTATAATGCTACGATAACAGAATGTACGTTTAGGACGTAGATACTCCTTTCCACCTTTACCAATTACTGTCTTCATTAGCAAAGCGCCACAGGGGCGACGGAACCTTCTCTGCGAATGTCTGGCAAACTCAACAAAGGAACACTTCTCAGATTTTCTTCCAACAACCCTACCTCTTCCATCCTTCACTTCTCTTATTGCATCATCAATACTGTAAACAGTGTCACATGTTGTACACACCACAAAACGATGAAAGTCATCTCTCTGCACACTCAGTTTCTTTCGCAACATGTACATAGTACGAGGAAACATTGCTGCAAGGTTCTTTATCACTTCAATATTCAAAAGGCAACCAAGCATACTTAAGACAAATCTTATAACGCACATCAATCCTATCATAGCATTATCTGAAATGTTGTGGTTCGTTTTCCAGACTGTTAGATACAACAAAAATGTGTGCATCCATGACAAGGTACCATTGTCATCCTCTTCATCTTCTTCCTCCATTTCCTCATCTTCTTCCGCCATTTCTTCATCTTCTCCCTCCATCTCCATCTCCTGTCCAGTCTCACTGCTGTCCACCATTTCGTCCTCTCTTCCATCCATTGCTTCTTCATACCCAGGTTCTTCCACAGTGTCCCACCAGGTTTCTTCATCAGCATCCTGTAAAACAAATAAGTGGGAAATAGATCTCTTTTTAGCTTCTTCAGATGTTGTTGCCATTTATGCTACTTACTAGTTAGTAATACATAATCCATTTCATAAACTCTTCCCCTTTTCCAAGAAAACTTAGACAGCCCTATTATATACATGTTTAAAGCTGTACCGATTCTTGAAATACCCATGATCTTGACATGTTTAGAATTAACAGAGATAGCAAGACCAAAAGTTCCTTGTACTACCAAGGAATTGAGCCACTGCCAAAATGAAATCATTTGTTCAACCAGTGGGTCCAAGTATGAGATTGCAGACTATTGAACTATCGTTGAGCCTTTCAAATTTAATTCACCCGTAGCTCCTCCACTTATTGTGCTAAAACCACATCAAAAGTTATTGATACATGTATAACATACATACATGTATATGCATAAAAATGTACACTTTCAAAAACATAAGCTTCTAAGTGGAGGTAATATAAAATGTAACAGATTACCTCAATATCACTGTCATGAGATGTTGGTTTTGAAGATCCTTCTTCAGCATTTCCAGTATGAGATGTACCATTTGAGTCATCCTGTGTGATAAAGTAACCATGGATATATGAGGTCAATGCAGTTAAAAATATCTGACAGATGATGGACTGGAGGGCACAATAATATTTCATGTTTCACAAACCAATCAACAAAAAGATACGTAAAACTACATGTAGTACCAAATAAACACTGATCAATAGATAGTTTACCTTTAACTGGTAGAGTAACTCTTGTAGGGCAGCCTTTTCTTCCTGCAGCTTTTCCGTACACTCAGGCATGGCCATGTTGTCTCCTAACTTCATCTCTACATCATTCAACTGAAAAGATAGAAAATAGTACATGAGGTCTAAAAATATCCCTTCAGATTAACTGCCATACTAACTTGATACTAAAATGATATTGTCATGATACATTCATGATACACTACAGCAACAAGTTATAATGCAATTACTATGAAATCCTTCTTTCAAGTATGGTCACCATTTTTACGGTATTAGAACCCTCATTTGCCAAGGGTTGAATGGCACTGAGAGTCTGAGACTGTATGAGGCAATTTGATATATACAAAACATGTATTACATGTATATATTAGAGTGTCGGCTAATACATGTATTATATTAGGCTTCGGACTAAGAAGCCATATGAGACCTCATCCCTCGTGATTGAGCACACTGACAGTCATCTTCAGCGACGAAGGACTACCAAGATATTAGAGTGTCACTGACCTTTTCTTTAACATGGATCCGAGCATGCTGATCCAGTTGTTGAAGGCACTGGAGCACATACTGCACTGCCTGCTTTCTTTTGCCACTGTCATCTGTTGGATGCGCATCCACGTTCAGAAGGAGATTAGTCAGCCCTTCCTCTGCTTTCTTATAGGCTTTGACCACGTCTCCTGTCACGTTTTGGACAAACGCTTCCAGTATGCTGGAGCTTTCACTGCCAACACTGCAGAATGTTGTATCCATGTCAGGAGCAGGAATCTACAATTAGAAAACAAAAATATGTATATAGAGGATATATCATTATTGATACAGCATCATTATTGAAATGACAGGAGAAACATACTTAACTATTACTAGATAATAATCAGGGCTCAAAATACAGGGTTTTGTGCACCCAAATTTGGCGCTGTCCATCCAAAATGTTCAATGTATAGTAGTATAGAGCATATTCTGCAATACATTGAACAACTTAGTGTCAGAACAATAATAAAATCTTTGTCATGGTACTTTTCTTTAGAAATGAAACTTAAGTTTTGCTGACATTCTACATATTAAAGTTTGCTGACATTTTACTTATTAATTTGTCTTATACATGTTATATGGTGCACACAAAAAAATTGTGTGCACCCAATTTTGCAATGAGACTTTCCTTATCCAAGACATTCAATTTGTGCACTTGACTATGACTATGAGAGATCCAGGTGGTCTGTGTTTGATGGGATCACTACGATACTAGTATTCTCCTCAGTTCTAGCTTAGGCCAATTTAATCTGTAGGTTCATGGATTTGCTTCATTTTTTTCTGATTTGCAAGAAAAAAAAACATCTTACAATTCTTAGCCTTTGATTCAGTTTGAATCAACTCCAAAATGCTAATATTTTGAACACAACAGTTGAAGAAAGTCCCTTCTCTTCACTGACTTCAGAGTTCTTACAGCTTTTCCATCTATCAATGCAGTGTTTTTTAAAAGATTTATGAAGGACTGCAAGATTGCCCCCTCAAAAAACTTCCCTATGCTGGTTGAAAGACAGTGTAGGGGGGCTACATCACAACGTAGGGGGTTTAAATCACAGAGTAGGGGACCCCTATGCCAATTACAGCCTGGTGAGAACATAATGCAGTGGTAGAAATACTGTTTGCAGACCTGACAACATTCTGCAATATTGCAGAATATGAAAATTTTGATCTGCAATTTGGAAATACTTTAAAATTCGTGCTGCAAATACAGTAACCTAAATGTCCGGATCTAAACTCAAGTGCCATTTTAGACGCAATTTAAAAAAATAATTTATAGAGTCAGTCAGCCTGCATTTTTTTTAAATGGGACAGAGAGAACAGGGTCAGTCTTTTGTCTGTGGCTAACCAGTAAGGCCACACCAAGTAATTTTTATGGGTGACGTCCATGTATGCATTGATTTTGGCATGTTCCCAGAAAAAATCATGTCTTTCTAGCTAATTTCTGCTCTTTCCAGTTGCTTTCACAGTGGTTCAAGTACTCAAATTGTATTTACTGGCCATTACTAGTATTTAGGAGTGCCTGCATGGTAGCCTGGTTACCAAACCTATTATAGCTCCCGAGTCCTACATCCTCTCCGCAAATATTTGCGGAGAGGATGTAG